ATAATAAAAAAATACTTATAACAAATATAAATAAATACTTACAGAATACTAAGTATTTAAAAAATATTATTAACAAAAATTATTTAATAATAGTATTGAATTAATATAAGGTTTCATTTGATTCAATATTGGGATGTTATATTAGTATAGATTATTAGAGGTGTTCTTTATTTAGTTAGACTAATTCTTTACTACTAATCCCTTTATGTTTGCTACTTTTTCACTACTCCAATTTGTATAACAGTTGTATTACCCTCTCAAATCAAGATCCCAAGACCACCTTAAAGTTGTTGGTGCTATCTTGTTATCTGCAAGATTTATTTGTGCAACCTTCTTGTTGTCAAACCTTCTATGATACTACTATCACATGTAGTGCTCTTCTTCTTTATAATAGATCTTCTTTCAGAAATTCTTAAACCAAATTTGTACTTCACTTGAACTTCCACAGGGTTTTGCATTTAAATACTCTAGAAACTATTTCTAGTAGGACTTGAACCAAAGACCTTGGCTGTGGGATAGATGCTTAGACTACTAAGCTATAGAACTCTAACTCATTTATTTTGATAATTTATTATAATATAATTCAATTTAACTATCATTATATCGATCAATTACTTAAAATCGACTTAAATTTATTAATAATTACAAGCTCAAGTTGGAGCTCTTCTAAAGCAAATTTATTAATTTTCCCTCTAGATTTTATTAGACTAAAAATATGAAATCGATTACAATTCTAAAACATGATTTTATTAGTAAAATCACAATTTCTTGAAAATTTTCATAATCTTTGTTATATACCGAATCAAGGTACTCTTATTCAAGCTTTACTTATTTCAGAAATCTATTAGACAAAACTCAAGTTAAAAAGTAATAAAAATCTTTAACAATATTATAAAAGATAAAAACTAGCAAATAAACTTCAAGACAAGTAAACTAAATAAGATTAAATACTAAACAAGAACATCCTACTAACCAAATTACCAAAATATTAACTAAAAAAACCTATTATAAATACTATAAAGCTAATATCTTTTTAGACTATCTAAATTAAAATTTTAAAAAAACTTATAAAGGGTTTAAAATACCAAAAATGATTGTAAAATATATATTAAAGTCTAGGTAAACTTTATAAAAACAAAATAATAGCAATTTGAAGATAATCCTGTTTGCATAGTAATGACTATAATCAATGCCAGGCTAGTTCAAGAGTAGTCAAAAGGTAGCTCTGGTAGGTCTACCTTAAGGTTAATAGTTCTAGGTCAATTTATAATTCTAAATAGAGGTTGATCACCTTATACAGAACAAGATAAGCAGAAGGTTTAAATAGATAATTCTCTAGTCAAATAGATATAGCATTAAATATAAAACCTTCGAGTATACTACTTAAATAAACAATCAAAAGTTGTATGTGTGGCTAGTATATACTCTCCAAAATTATATGACAAAGATAAGTAGCGACTTTGTAATGAAGTTTAGCAAACACATACCAATAAAAGATGCCGGCCATAAGGTCACCTTGAATATTAAAAAAAAATAAAAATAAAAATGTGTTACTTAAATTATCAATGAGTTATTATAAAGTTATTATTATGATTTAATATATTAATCTGCATATAAATTTATTTATACATTTGTTTATTCTTCTACAGTAAAAAAAGTATTCCACCTGCCACAAAAACAATCAACAATTTTTTTATTAAAGTCTGGACAGAAAACAGGAGTAAAGGTAAGATTATCAAATAGTTTATGTGATCCTTGACCCTGTTGTCCATATTTACCTATTGCAGGCAAACAAATTTGGTTATAAACAATTACATAATAAAACAAACTTAATGAAATATTATACCCCATCCGCAAGTCCAAAGTCGATAATCATCTAGCACATGCGAATACAAAAAAGAATAAATAGTCTACATCACACATAGTTGAAAGGTTCAATAAATGTTTATTCACCTGTGACGATGGCAGTATGAGCACTTCCACAAGAAACCTTTATTATATTAGGTCCAAAATCTTTTCCTTCATTAAGTTCTATCAGTGTAGGTTCAGCATAATTAATCAAAGATTGCGTGTAGTTATTTTTATCAGGAAGCGGAATGCCCAGTCTTCCCGAATGATTCCAACCAAAAGTATATAAATCTCCTGAATCTGTTCATTATTAATTTAATTTTGTGTGATTTATAGCACACGGTTGAAAAGATGGTTTACCAGTAATTACTGCTGAATGCCATCCACCGCAAGCAATCTGAACTACTTTTAAGCCCTCAAAAAATTCAATTACTTTAGGTTTATCCAAAGATTTCGTGTCTCCATGACCCAATTGTCCGTATCTAAATAACACCCATTAAAAATAATATATTGATCAATTCTTTCCTTAACTATTCTTAGTTATTCTTAAGCACTCAATTATGTTTAGTTATTTATATTTAACGATTCTTAACTGAATTGAAGCAATCAATACTAACACACCTTCCAGATCCCCAACTAAATACTTGTCCTGCTTGAGTCAATGCTAAACAATGATTCTCTCCACATACTACTTTGGTAAAAACAATATCGATTTTGTTGTCAGTTGGTGTAATCTCTTCCGAAGAGGCCTGTTCGATATTCCAATTGTATAATTTTCCATCTACTTCAAAAATAGAGTTTTTCATGTCAAATTTTAATATAAAAAGTTACAGTCAAATCTTTCTATTCCAAACAGTCCGTTCTTATATGTAAAAATAACAAAAAGTTCAGTTCTCAAAGAGTTACTAATATTGCTAATCCGAACTTTATAATAATTTTCTGAAGTTTTGTGTTCGGTTTTTACAGAGTTTATTAAGGGTTCGAATTATCCAGGTCCGGATTCGGAAAAGTTGATTGTAAATGACACCCTCTTGTTATCTTACCTGTAACCACAATCATAGCATTGCCGGTCCAAAATTGAGAAGCATCAACAATTTTTGTATAAGAATTACTAATTTCATACATTCTCGAATGCTCCTTTTCGAAGACAATATTTCCATCAATATCAAGAAAACCTAGGATGCTATTGTCATTTCCAAAGCATTTTTTCACTCTTTGCCAAGATTTACGAGTCGGTGAAATTATCTTGTTTTCTACCGAGTCAAAACCCCACGTTAACAATACAGTTGAATCTTTCCCATTTTTTATAGACTAAAAATAATTTATGACAGAATTAAATAAAAATGTTTACAAATTGATTTATTGAACAAAACGTTTTTGATAACTTTGGCTACCTTTTCGCTCAAAGTTGCGTTTATATTAGCCCAAATTATTTTGTCTGCGAATGCCGTTATATCAGTTGGTAAACTGATGATAACATCCTGAATTTCAGGGTGAGTTTGTCGAAAAGCATTATAACCAAACGCGTATAGTTTTGACTTTTTGGTCATTTGACAAAATCTAAGTGTATTATCGTTATAAATACAATCATATGTAAATAAAATCATCATATGTGAATAACATTAAAAGAAAATAAAAATAAAAAAATTGTTTGGGATCCTCAGAAAATTTATTTCATCGGCATTTTAAAAATTACGATAATACATGCTTTAAATACTTCATCATGGATAAAAAAAAAAAAAAAAAAAAAACTTATTTACCATTTAACTGTTTAGATTTTACCCGAGCTTTGTAAATAAAAATTTGGTGTAGAAATTCCGAAGCGCTTCAAAAAAAAAGTTAGTTGCTGAAATAAGTTTAAATAGGTATTTAGTTATATTCCATAATAGTGTATGCAATGTAGTTTGTGTATATGATTAACCAATCAGAATGCATAAAGATTACTATATTCGTGGCTTGGAATAGTTGGCGGGCAAGTATTGAGAACTTCACTTGACGTTTTATTTTTGCTTGAGTAAATCTTATTTACCTTCTTAAGGTAGTTTAAGCTTTTCACTACCTTGCTAACCTACTGCTAAAATACTTTACGGAAGATGGCGAGAGAAGAATACAGTGTAGTCGTTGAAATGGACGACGAAGTACGTTAAACAGATCTGTTCAAGATTCATTTTGAGTATCGATTCAAGATTTCATTTTCTAAAGCTACTTTTCAACTTGTTTTGTATAGACCCACGTTACGAGAGAAGAACTCGAATTTCAAAGTGAGATATTCATGTTGTTCTGTACAGCTTCATGAACATTACTAAAGAAAGTGTTATAATAGATTTTTCTTCTGGATCGGGGGTCGGAGGGAAAATTACACAAGATAAACAGCAATCCACTAATAATTCTGGTATAATTATTGAGTATCTTAGAATAACTTTCTACAGAGTCATTGAATCATTGCTTACAAACAAATTCTTTATTATTCAAAGGATTTAATGATACATCATTTTTCGATACAAGTACATCCCAAACTGCACCGCAAGGTGGGCATCCATTTTGGTCACTTGAATATTACGCTCAATATTTTGACGTGGACACGGAACAAGTATTGTAATCATTGTCAATGATTGACTTCTATATATATATATATATACATTATTATACGATTTATAAGACACTTTTTTAATTGTCCTGAATGTTTTTTATAGGTCCTTACACGAGCGACAAAAAGTCTTTTCCCTAAAGATAATTTTGTTGATGTAGTTGGACCAAATCCGGACTTATATGGTACATGATAATTGTATAAATATCCTCTTCAACATATCAAATTTTTTTAAAATACGGTTTTTCTAGGTCCTTTTTGGATATCTACAACTTTAATCTTCCTTCTCTTTGTAACGTCTTCCATCGCGGGATCAATCGAGGCTATTACACAGACTGATCGAGGTAAAGCCAATTATGACTTCGGAATTCTCTATTTCGGAACCGTTGCGATTTATAGTTATACTTTTGGGGTATCTCTATTCGTTTGGGGTGCATTAAAATATCTTGGGTGTCGTCCTTCGCTGTTGGATACCGTAGGGTTATATGGCTACGGATTGACAATCTGGCTCCCAATTTCAGTGAGTAACTTGTTTTCATAGCTGTGAAAAATATTTATAAGACTAATTTCTTTTAAATATTAATATTTTAACAAAGGTCATATGCATAATTCGAAATGCATGGTTACTATGGATACTTGTTATTATCGGATTCGTAATTTCTGGTAAGAACCATAAATCATTTCTTTCGTGTACAGTGTCTTTATTAATCCATTAACATAAATTCAATTCTATTAAAATGTTCTTAGCATTTTTTATAACAAAGAATCTTTATCCTGTTATATCACGTGCAGAGGCAAAAACCTCTCGTCTGTTCTTAATTTTTGTATTAGTAGCTCATGCTGCATTTGCACTTTTACTTAAATTCGAATTCTTCTCATATAAAACCAGCTCCAACCCTCCATCATCTTAATTATAAATTACAATTTCGTTTGAAAGTATAGAATGTTAATTATCACAATATTTTGTCTTCAGAAAAAAAAA